TTGTCTTAGTAAAGTGTGTTACAGAATGGTTTCTGACTCTGTTATTTCTAAGGAAAACAGAGTGTTTTGTTTCTTACTAGTAGGATATTTATTTATATTAAAAATATATCCACTTTACTGTTTTGTCATTGAAATGTGCTTTCGATGCAATTATTTGCTTTGAAAGAATGAGTCGGCTTAGCCACATTGTAGAAGGGTTTAGGGCTTTATAATGAGAGTTGAGGGAATTACCAGCATAGCTCCTGCTACTCCATGCATTCTTGTCTTCTCCCCCGCATTCTAGATCCCAGATCTGTGGTTTAGTCGTATCCACTGTAGGTCTGAACTGGACACACACCTGCACAGAGGGAGGAGTGAAATTGAGAAGAAGTGACGTAATTACCCTGTTTGGGGTAAACTGACAGTTTATCCTTATCTCGTAGAAAGTATTTGGGACTCGTGTAAAAATGTCCTTTTCTGAGATTCCCTGCCCTCTAATAGCTTGTTTTGTTCATTCAGAAGGACTGGCTCTGCAGGTTTCCCTTTTCACTTGAAAAATCTGTCCTGTGTGGAAAATCTGTCTTCCCTGGAAGCCAGCTCTGCCACAGGGTGTGGGATGTGGTAGAGCCTCGTGGTTTCAGGATGATCCGAGGGTCTTAGAGGTGAATCTACTAGGACAGAAGTCCCAGCTCTGCCCTGTACTAGTTGTGTGACATTAGCCAAGCTCCTTAATGTTAATGGACTTCATTTTCCTCTATTTAAGTTAGAGATAAAGATAATATCTTCCTTACAGGGAGTTATTGAGGATTAAATAAGGTAACGCATATACAGCTCTAGGCATGTTTCCTGGCACAAAGTTAGCGCTCAGCTAACCATTATCATTACTATTTCCTTTATGTTTGTTTCAAAGATTTGATTACTTTTAATATTGTGACGTGATACTATTTGGACTAACATGTCCATTTGGCCCACCCATTCACCCTTTTTTTAAATTGGTACATAATTGTACATATTGGAGTACATGTGATACTTTGATGCCTGCCTACAATGTGTCATCATCAAATCTCAGTGTATTTAGGGTATCCGTCACCTTGACCATTTATCATTTCTTTGTGTTGGGAACATTTCATATTTTCTAACTATTTTGAAATATTCAATGTATTGCTGTTATTAATAACTACAGTCACCAAACACTAGAACTTTTTTTGTTTGTTTGTTTCAGAATCTTACAGGGGTACAAACGTTTTGGTTACATGAATTGCTCTGGTACAGTTTGAGTCAAAGTTATAAGTGTGCCCATCACCCAGATAGTGTGCTCTGTGCCCATTAGGTGTGAATTTACCCATCCCCTCCCCTGCCACCTGCTTGATTTCTGTTGAGTTTTACTTCCATATGTGCACATGAGTGTTGATCGATTAGTTCCAATTTGACGGTGAGTACATGTGGTGTTTGTTTTTCCACTCTCGTGATACTTCACTTAGAAGAATGGTCTTTGGTTCCATCCAGGATGTCACAAAAGGTATAAAATGTAGTATGTGTATACCATGGGGTACTACTCAGCGACAAACACTAGAACTTATTCCTTCTATCCAACTATATTTTTGTACCCATTAACCAATCTCTCTTCATCCCCTCCCACCTCCTTCCCAGCTTCTGGTAACCATCATTCTAGTCTCCACCTTCATGAGATCCACATTTGTAGCTTCCACATATGAGTGAGAACATGTGATATTTGTCTTTCTGTGCCAGGCTTATTTCACTTAATATAATGACCTCCAGTTCCATTTATGTTGCTTCAAATGACAGGATTTCATTCTATTTTTCATGGCCGAATAGTATTTCATTGTGTCTGTCTACCACATTTTCTTTATCTATTTGTTCATTGATTCTATGTCTTGGCTATTGTGAATAGTGCTGCAATAAATGGGAGGGGGTGTGTAGGTAGCCCTTTGACACTCTTATTTCCATTCTTTTGGATATACCCTGCAGTGCGATTGCTGGATCGTAAGGTGGTTCTATTTTTAGTTTTCTGAGAATCCTCCATACTGTTTTCCACAGTGGCTGCACTAATTTACATTTCCTCCAACACTGTATAAGAGTTCCCTTTTCTCCACATCTTTTCCAGCATTTGTTATTTTTTTACTTTTTTATAATAGCCATTCTAACGGGGTTAAGATGATACCTCCATTGTGGTTTTGATTTGCAATTCCTGATGTTGAGCATTTTTTCAAATGCCTGTTGGCCATTTGTATGTCTTCTTTTGAGAAATGTCTATTCAGATCCTCTGCCTAATTTTTAATGAGATCATATATGTATTTTTTGCTTTCGTTTGAATTCCTTATATCCATTTACCTTTTTTAACCTACAATTCTATTTGAGGGCTTTTTTTGTTTTGTTTTTGTCTTTTGAAAAGATTATATGTATTTTAGGTGTACAACATGAATACCCCGTGTGTATGTTTTGACATACGTAGTGAAACGGTTACTCTTATTGTTCTTTCTGTATCATGCTATTTGATTTGTTTTTAAAAATCATCTCCAGAGATTTTTTTTTTTTCTGGCCTGCTTGCTGAATGCTCTCCTGGGGTAGTGACTTCATTTTTCTCCTATATTTCATCCTGTTTGTAGGCAGACAGCCAGGTGGACCTGGTCCGGCAGCATTTCTACGAAGTGTCCCTGGAATACGTCTTCAAGGTGCAGGAAGTCCAAGAGAGAAAGATGTTTGAGTTTGTGGAGCCTGTAAGTAGATGTTCCGGGTTTAATGATGTGCCCGTACTTCCATCCCTGCCTCTCATTCCAACCGTAGTACTTAGTAGATTACAGAATGCTCGAAGTCGTCGATGAGCAGGTTGACCTGCCCTAATGCTGTGCCTTGTCAGTCTGGCTACCCCGGTTTCTTCCCACTGCCGCTGTGCAGCTTGCAGTGATGGAGACAGAGCATTGATCAGTAGCTCCTTCTAGCTACCCAGTGTTGTGCTGTATGGGTCCCAGGTGGATGGAGTGGAAGTGGGAGTCTAGAGGAGAGGAGTTTTTGTCTTGCCAGGACATAGTGATTGCACCTTAACTTTCCTCCTCTCTCCCACCCTCCCGCTTCTCTCAAATAATCCAGGTGGAGTAGTAACACAGGGAAATGGCAGAATATACATAGTACTTTTCTCTTTTTGCCCCTGGGTCCAAAGCCCCTCCTTATTTCATTCACGTATTAAAAGATGCCATATAAAGTGATTTCTCACTGTGGATATGTTGTAATCAGAGCGGCATTGAGATTCTGCTGAGTAGACCGTGGTGGAATTTGGACTTGGGCAGCGTGTCCCGGGGGGCACGAAAGATTGCACTGTGGGAAAGAAAAGGTCTGACTTCAGTTAAGGCCACACCAGCGTGGTTGTGGTTCCGTTCAGACGTGGTGCCACTCCACCCTGCCGTGTGAGGCACCGTGTGGAGAATCCATGGCAGGAACACTTCATGGAAACACCAAAATTGCATACGGGCCTCAATTAAAAATTTGCACACCAGGGATTTTTCAGCCAAAATGCTGCCTCTGATTTAGACTCAAGCCTGGGGTCTTACAAGATTCTTATCTACTTAGATTTAAGAAAGGGCATTTTCTTAAGCAAATAAAAATAAAAGTATAAGAAACTGAAGGAAAATGACCATTCTTTTTAGTAAAGACTATTCAGTGACCCATTTCTAGTTTGTGGGATGCTACTCAGGCATGTAGACTTGCTAGTAGTTTTTCATCAAGACTCTGGTTGGCTTTGGAATCTGATGTCTACGTCTTTTACTGTGCCAAACTGTATTTTTGGGATTCCACTCCTAGCTACCTCATTTAGCAAATTTCTTAAAGTCCTTAATTACTTCAGCCTTTGTATATGAATGTTGGAAACCTTAGACCCAACTTCCTGTCCAGCAATGGTCTCAGCTGAGGCCTCAGGTCAAGAATCCCCATCTTTCTGCAGGGTTTGTTAGTGTGAGCAGCCGTCTGTCAGGGAGAGCAGGCTTGTCGCCGTGTCCCTGCTTGGGCTCAGAAGTGTGAAAGCCAGCCTGTCAGTCGAAGGTTTGCTGAAGACTTGTTTCCTGTGGTCAGGGAAGAAATTTAAATGCTGTCACACAGAATCAGCCTTCAGCATTGTTTTTATTTACTGGAATTTTTAGAGGAAAAGAACAATGCGATTCTAACAATGTATGTATGCATTGATCAATATTATTCTATATTTGCCTGCTTCTGATGAGTTTTATTCTAATTGACCCATCTGACTTTTTTGAAGTGAGTTTTTTGTTACCAACTTTGATCTCTCCGTAGGTATACCTAGTGAATTGAGTTTTATATCTGTTAGCTTTTCGTGAGTGACACCACAGTGCCTTATACAATAATAGATGTTTCTTCTTCACATATCTGTGAGGTTCAGCCAACCTTGGCTGGGCTCAGCTGGATGGTTTTGCTGTTTTGGGTGGGTTTTCCTCCTCCTCCTTCCCCTCTTTCCCTTCTCTTTCTCTTGTCCCTCCTGCCCTTCCTCCTCCTGCTCTTTTTATTAAATAAAAAAGAAATCTACAAGGATTTAGTATTGCAGTTCTTGGCATTGCATTGTATAATAATATGACAGTGTCTTAGGATGTTTTTACTTTAAGAGGCAGTAGCATTGTAGTTAAGGGTTCTAGAGCCAGACTGCCTGAATTTAAATCCTTGCTTAGTCATTTACTAGCTGTGTGTTCTTAGGCAAATCATTTCTCTGAGCTTGACTTTCCCCATCTGCAAAATGGGGATAATACTACCACCTACCTTACAAAGATGCTGTGCAGATTGACTGAGTTTATCCATGTAAGGTGCTTAGAACAGAATCTGATTAGAACCCAATGAAAAGTTAACAGTTATTTTCATTTACAAGCAAGTAAGTCAAGTGCCAATATTAACAGGGCCTACCCGTTTTAATATAAATAGTCTTGGTGGATCTAAAAACGTTTATGTACTGAATACCGTAGAAAAGTCTAAAGACCCTGCTGCGGTGTCTGAGGAGCTCACAGCCTCACGGTGGGAAGCAAGATGTCTATAGTGGAGAGCCAGCCACAATAACAGGCAGTTCAGTGAGAGGTTGGACAGGATGGATGATACAGAAGTGCCAGAGGGATATAAAGAATGTAATCATTGTAATGTGCAGCTGTTTTTCAGCTCATACAGTGCGGCAGCTGGAGAGCGAATGAACAGAAATTTCCAGTCTCATGTTAGGACAAAGAGAAAGTTATAGGGATTTGCCCAAAGTTAAACTAAATGAGCTGATTGAGAGGCTAGATGTGGGATTCAGATGTTTGGCCTTCGCTTCGCTACAGAAGTTCTCATCTCTGAACACACCAGCTTCTAGGAGTGTCAGTGGCTTCAGCAGCTGGGGATTGGGAGAAGACATTCACACGTGGAAATGCTGCCGAGGAGACTGGTGATTGGAAAAGCATTAGAAATGCAAATTCTCAGGCTCCACCCCAGACCTGAGATTTAAGGGTGGGGCCCAGGAACTGTATTTCAGTAAGACCTCCAGGTGATTTAGTTACACGTTACAGTGTGAGCCACTGGCCTACCCTCTACAAAGGAAGAACACGAAATAGCAATTGATGATATTAGCTGAAACCGTGTCATGGGCTGTGCTAAGTGCTCCACCTACATTATGTCATTCGATCCTTACAACATCTCTGTGGGTAGGTACTGTTTTTATCCCTATTTTCAGATAAAGAAATGGAAACACGTTTGTGTGTATTTACTTACCCAAGGTCATATCTAGTAAATAGCGGAGCTGGAAGAGTCTGGCACTTGATCTCTATGAAACAGCATTTGATTGCTTACAGGTGGAAAGGAAACCATCAAGAAATCTATTGAACTAAATTGCTGGGGTACCTAGGTGTGGGTATTCATATTTTGAGTTGTTTGCAGTCAAGAGAATCTTGTAGCCATTCAGAGAACCTCCGTGCACACTGGCCATGTTCATTTGTTTCTTAGAAAGTAACTTCTAGTACCAGGATGTTATTGACCTTCAGAAAAAGAAACAAAGTGTTAGTGTTCCAAGGAAGAAAAATCAGATTTCTGGGATCTAAACCATGTATGTATATTTTTGTGCCGGAAGCCTTTATTTTCTTGTTGCAGTACCTAATGTTCTTGAGATTTGGATTGCAGATAATGACATCCTGACTTCGTGGAGGTGAAGCCACGTTCCCTCTGTTCCCTGAGTTTCCATAGCTGAAGGTTGGCTAGTACTTCCGAGAACTTCCCCTCCACGGTTGTCAGGCACCGCATCCTCTGAGTTCCACCTCCTGGATGTTTCTTGGTGTCGTGTCTGTCCCATGTTTTCCTTTAGTCTTTGCATCCTGTCCTGGGCTTCCCCCTCCTCCAGCCTGGCCTGGACCACGGCACATCCGCATCAGCCTGATGATCTCTGTCTTGCCGAGCACCTCCTGACAGCACTGCTGTGCTCAGCCCGTCACATGGACGGTCTGAATCGACCTTCGCTCCAGCCCCGTGTAGTAATAGGTGCTGCTGACCCTCCTGTGAAAGACGAGTGAAAGGGAGTTATGTGGCTTCCCCAGCTTGGCTTTTCATCGCCCTACTGGCTGACTTTCTCTTTGTTGCCTGAGTGAACGATTCTTGGTGGCTGTGTTAGTTTTTTAGGGCTGCGGTGACAAAGCACCACGAACTGGGTGTCTCAGAACAACAGAAATGTAACGTTTCACAGTTTCAAGGGCGAGAAGTCTGAAATTGAGGTTTTTGCAGGGATCTCTGAAACCCGTAGGGAAAGGACCCTTCCTTTCCTGGCAATATTTGTCATGCTTTGGCTTATAGATGCATCACTCCAGTCCTCCGTCCTCACGTGGCTGTGCACGTCTGTCTCTGTGCACAGATTCTCCCTCTTTCTAAAGACATCAGTCATGGTCTCCTTATAAAAGTACTACGGCCCACCCATTGTCCTCATTTAACTCGATTACCCGTGTAGACACCCTATTTCCAAATAAAGTCCCATTCCAAGGTGCTGGGGGTTAGGACTTCTACATGTCTTTTTTGGGAGGACACAATTCAACCCCTAAAAGTGGTTCTGTCCTATGGATGGTGTAACAACTCGAATTCCTCAGTTCAGAATGATGCAGCCAGTTACATTTTTGCTTTATAAAATGAAAAACAAATAGGAAGTAGGATAGGCTTTGCTTATGGGGAACAAGGATGGGGAAGAAGGCAAAGGGAGGCGAGAAAGGTCTTTCCTTCATCGGACTGTGATTTCGCGGTTGCTCAGTGGACAGCTGACTCCTCTTTGGCAACCAGGTGGGACTGCAGCAAGCTCTCCCTCCGTGTGTTTGGGTAGGAGCATTTCTTCGAAGCAGACAGATCGTTCCACCTCTGGGGCCTCTTGCCCTGAGGGGTGGATGTTCATTTCCCACTTCATAACAGGCCCAAAGGTCCAGACGTAGTGTGGGAGCGTGTAGAAGGGGCGCGGGAGAGAAAAAAGATGCCGTGAGGGGAGAAGGAAGGGGGAAGAAGTGGGCCAACATAGCAGTGTCTAAGGAGTCGTTTCCCGTAGGAAAACGGGCAACCAAGGCATGACACCAAAGGAAGTGAAAGCCAAAATAAATGTTATTAACTCTCTGCCCTTGGAGCCTTGCCTGCGTGCCCAGGTGGCATCTCAGTGAGCCGTTTGAGCATATTTAATTACCCCAAGCAAGAGAGGCTCTGTTGAATAAATCACAGCTAACAGGAGGAATGACCTTAGAGTTAGCTGCTTGCCGTCTGCATACTCTCAAGCGGGGGTGGCTGTGTGCCTTGGAAAAGCGCAGGGGCCCCGCGTCTGCGGACAGGGAGGGCGGAGGCGAGTGGAGGGAAAGCGCGGTTCTCACTGTGAGTGCTGGGACTAGGTCTGGCACAGGAGCCCCTTCTCTATTGCTGGAGCCATCTAGAAGGACAGGTATGGGCTGTCCTCTCAAAAAAAAAAAAGTATTTCATATGGAGTAAGTCCAAAGCCTTTGGCAATCTTTGAGGAAAAGAGTTTGTGACCAGTCTCTGTGACTGTATGTAACTTACCACCCATCCATTGATTTACGTTGGGATCTGTATATGGTGCCACAGGAGGGCTTTATAGCCAGAGGACTCAGCAGCGCCTGCTCTGCCACCTCCCGTGAGAATCTAAGGAGGGTAGATGGGCTCGGAACAATGGCAGTGGGAAGTTCAAGTACCATATTGTCATCATCTGGGTTTTGTCTGACTTCCCAGGGCAGAGCTCTTTGATTAAGCTGGGCCAAGCTGGGCACGTGGCGTGGCCCGAAGACTGGGCTTCCACATCAGCCCAGACGGAGCAGCACACGCCTCTGTGCTCACCGTTCTCGCAGCAAGCAAGGCGGGAGCGTGGGGGTGGTGGGCGGGATGAGATTCTTGGACCGTCATTGTTAGGGCTGCCTCTCAGGAAAGGAGAGTGAGGTGAAAGCAGGTGGGACGGGATTATGTTTAGTAAGTACAGCTAAGTTCACTCGGGGACTGAAAAACCGAATACAACAACATGGAGCAACGCCAAGGTGTCTGGGTGTAACAGGTGGTAGGGGCAGGTCGGGGAAGTCAGAGTGGACCACTAAGAAAGTGAGAGTTGGCCTTGAGACGTTGAAGTTGGGACAGAGATGGTTCTCAAATGTTGTACAGCTGGGCTGGGGATGGCTGCTGTGCTGGTCCTTCTAAGCCTCGTTCGGGCTTTTGTTACAGTCCTTTCCTCCAGGTGGAAGTTTGAAATTGGGGGAAGATGTGTAGACCTTGGGAAGGGGCAGGGAAGCGTGACAACAGTGAGGTCTGGACATAAGCTCTGAGAGGAAAGACCACAGGAATTGTTTATTTAGCTTGGAGAAACGAAGGCTGGCAGGGGCTCAGGGTGGGGATATTAACAGTTTTTAAGTATATGAGGGTATGTGGTGAGAACTGTGGTGAACACATGTATTCACTATTCACTGAAGACTAAACAATGAAGGGGCTTACCTTTAGCCCGAGGGGATTTAAATGAGAACGTGGGGAAACCATTGTAAGTGAAAATGTGGGAACGTGGCAATATTTTAATAAAGGAATCTGTAGTGTTTACTTCTGGATAGTTTAGGGAAAGCACAGAAGCGTGCTGTAGCTGAAGTCTAATCTGGGTGATTTTCTTTGATTTGACTTTGCCTGTTAAACTGCAGACTCAGGACACCTAGCTTCCTTTTCTCCCTCTTCTGCATGATAACCTGATATGTCAAATGCACTAGAAGGAATCTGAGTTGGAGTCCTGGTCTTTAGTTTTTGAAGAAATGATGTTCTTAGGAGGTGGTGACGCTCACAGGGTAAGAACGTGGGTTTTGGTGCCAAGGAGACCTGGTTTCAAATCCTGGCTGCCACTTTGTGTTTGGGAGCAGGTTTCTTAACCTTTCTGAATCTGCTTCATCCTTGGTGAAATGAGGATAACGGTAGTACTGAGGTCATAGGTTGTTGTGAGTATTCATTGAGACAGGGTGTGGAAGGGTGCAGTGCGTGGCACACAGGTGGTGCTCTTTAAGTGTTAGCCGTTAAGATTTAATATTCATTCCTGATGTTCAAACCAGTTTTGGGAACTCAGATACACGACGTCATCCCTCTTTGCAGCCTGTTTATGTGACGTCTGCCTTTCTTCCTGCGTTACAGCTGCTGGCCTTCCTGCAAGGACTCTTCACTTTCTACCACCATGGTTATGAACTGGCCAAGGATTTCGGCGACTTCAAGACACAGTTGACCATCAGCATACAGAACGTGAGTGGGCATAGGGGCGTCCTTCCTTTCTCTGGTTAAGGAAAGGAAAAAAACAAAAGAGGAGCCTAGTTGCCATAGAAACCACCTATGTGGATTGGAATATAGGGGAGGAGAGTGGGTCTTGCTAGGGTTCGGAGGGTAGCTGGGGGCAGGCATTCCTGGAGTACTTAGTGGCCCTGGGCTAGACCATTACCCTCTTCCCCATTATTTTGATGTCCTATTTATGTTCTCGGAAGTGCTGCTGCTGGTCATGTTTCAAATCTGTAGCAACAGAGGCAGGATTTCCTTTGGCAGTAGAGAGCCCAGCCCAGCCTCCCTTCTGTGCATCTAGCTGCCTGGCCACAGGCCTTGGGGTGTGTGTTTGGGGGATGAGGGTGGGAGACACATGCTGGTCTCTGGCTCAAAGAACATGCTCTTGTCCAACTCTTAGGACGGCTGACAGGAAATCCAAGTTAGTGCGGTTCACTCCCCGTCTTCATTCCCAAGTTTTAAACACAGAACCTTCTGGTGCACAGAATCCTGCTTAGGGCTTTTTGGTTAGCAGTTGCTGGGGCTCAAGCCCTCCTTTTCACTGTGTGATGGGACCACGTTAGTCTTCTTGGTCTCTAGGTGATCTCGTGTGGGAAACAAAACCTAGCATGTCTGCTGCGTGGCTTTTAGAAGCCTGGAGCTTGCGTGGTTCTCTGTGTTGTCTCAAAGGACAGAATCTTGGAGAAGGTTTCACAAAGCGTGGCTCCCCTTAGGCTGAGTTCCTCAGAAGACAGACTCTGAGTTGGAGGTTTACATGCCAGAGGTTTACTAGGGGCCGATGCCGGCAGAAACACCTGTGACAGTGTGAAGCTGACGGGCAGAGGGCGAAGTTGAGCCGTGACGTGGTTGCAGCAGGGCTCTCAGTGCCGTGGGGGCTCTGGAGCTGGGCGCATCCTTCAGAGTGGTCCTGCATAGCCTAGGCAAAGGGGCCAGGCCTTTGACCCCTTCCCCTTTTGCTCCTAGCCTTGACTAGTCATCGGGTGCAGGCTGCCCTTGGAAAGGAGTGCCCTCCAGTGAGGCAGCTCCCTTTCAAGGAGGGACTCGCCTGTGAGCCATCGGTAAGCAGCGTTCCCTGCAGCTGGAGAAATGAGTACCTTAGTCGGGAAGGCGTACAAACCTCTGGAGCATCTGCATCAGAATGCTTTTTAAAATGCACATTTTTGGGGTCCAGAGTTACTAAATTGGAATGAGGCCTGGGTATTTGCATTTTCTTCAGGATTCCCTAGGTGATTTTGATGGTCACTAGAGTTTGAGAGTCATTCTACTACAGGACTTTAAGGTCAAAGTTTACATCTTATATGTGAAGGACCCAATTCCTGGAGGGTTGAATGTCCCTTCTTGCATTTTAGGTATAAGGATTCTATTAGGTTGATCTTCTGACTTATTAGACAGAGATTTCATTTCTTTTATTTGAATAAAATTCCTTTCATCCTAGACAAGAAATCGCTTTGAAGGCACCAGGTCAGAGGTGGAATCACTGATGAAAAAGATGAAGGAGAATCCCCTGGAGCACAAGACCATCAGTCCCTACACCATGGAAGGATACCTCTATGTGCAGGAGAAACGTAAGTGCTTTGACGGGCGACAGCTGGGGATGTACTCAGGCCTTTTGCCCAGCAGGTGGAGTGTATATCCAGTAGTGCCTGGGGACTGTAAGTGCATGTTTGAATGAATGAGAGTAATTTTTATAGTTCAGTTTCTCCGAAGGGAAAGATGACGTCCACAAAGTCTTGTCTACCTCTGTGTCCTTTATGACTGGGAATTCCCTTGAGAACCTGAAATTCCTTGAGGCTCCGTGGTTGCTCTTCTCTCCCTAGTGTTACTCTACTCCTGAGGATCCTATACCCCTAGTACAGCTTTATATACCGTACCCTGAGCAGAGAGGCCTTGGAAAGGTCTTGCATGTTAGACCTTACTGTCTATCAACAACCGGATCCTTTGGTAGACTTAATATTTGGTGATTCCAAGCAATCATGACCTAGGCCCTTTCCTTCTTCTTCTCAATTCCTTTCACTCCAACACTTGAATTTTATTAAAAATAGAAGCAAAAGCTTACTTTGAGAGTCAGGAGGAAGACCCATTGCCCTGCAGAAGATGTCAAAGAAAGAAATGGCAGGGGCTGCCAAGGTGAAATTTGTAGTGATGACTGTGTGATCTCCATAAGCATCTAAAACTAGTATCGATTGAGGATTGAGGTCCTTGTGGGCTAATAATACCCTCTTCCGCTAACAGTACTTTTTTTATTCTAAATGAAATCATTGGCGAGCACTGAGTAAAGTCAGAGACATCATCAGAACTTGACTGTGTGGCGTCTCCCTCTTTCCTGAGGGATAATTTTGAGGGACATACTCCTTAGATGACATCTGGGCGTTGAAAGCCACTTCCATCCTGTATCTCTGGTGTCTCTGAGGTTTCCTTGTCTGCTGTTCGGATCTCCTTGAGTTCTGCTACAGCAAAAATCGGGGGTTTGAAAGTAGATCAGAACCCCTTGATGTCTGTGCGCAGCCAAAGAGCAGCTGTGTGGGAAGCGTGAGGTCACCGCATCAGATGGGAACGGTGACAAGCACTTGGAGAAGCCTTTCTGCGCTTTTTCCTCAGTCATCTTACTCCCGTCAGGGAAGAGAAGGGAAACTTCAAATGCAGATTGATGATGGGAATGTGAATTAATTTCCCCAAGGAACCTCGACTTCCCTTATATTTTAAGATCCACTGGATGTAGTGTTAGTGGGAAACAGTCTTCTTTGGTCTCTGGGGGAAAGCCCTGGGTTCGCTCCATTTCCAGCCTGTGGAATCAGATTTCTGTCTATTCCAGTCCAGCTAGTGCGGAGAATATATTGCCCCTAAAATGGTTCAAGGGTAGATGAACACTGTGAGTTATGCGCTGTGTGTTTCTCCAGTTAACGATGCGCAGCACACAGTGGACATGTATAGTTGTTTCATAGGATATATTACCTTGCAGGCCACTTTGGAACTTCCTGGGTGAAGCACTACTGTACATATCAGCGGGATTCCAAACAAATCACTATGGTACCATTTGACCAAAAGTCAGGAGGAAAAGGGGTGAGTTCATTTTTTAAATTTCATGTTTGATTTGCTCTGCTAACATGTACTGATTATAATGCCAAATATAAAGTAACACCTCCAATGTTTCGCTATAATTTTCCTAATTATTATACGGTGGTTCCAGGAGGCCTAGTACCCTAAAGAATAACTAAAACAAGATGATTAAGCTTAGCTCTAAGTTATGTTAGGAACTGCAATCAAGAAAGATCCTCGTATTTCACATATATATGGTATCACGTATGTCAAATGTTTTTATTAAATAAATGCTAAAAGTTCTTGGATGACCTCATCCTGAGAAACTGATTTATGTCACTCTCACTCGATAACCTGGAGAGCTGCCAGTCGGCAGTTTAGATATTTCAGTTATCTATTGCTGTGTAAGAAGTCACCCCAAAACTTAGTGACATTTAAAACAGCACCAGTCATTTTAGTATTTCCCATCGTTTCTGTGGGAGAGGAATTCAGGGAGCATTTGGATGGGTGGTTCAGGCTTGGGGTTGGTTTCTCCTGAGGTTCCAATTGGATGTGGCTATCGCTGGAACCATGAAGGTCTGAAATAGCTCAAGCCTGGCCAGATATAGCCCTCTCTCTCTCTCCTGGTCTCCTCTGTGCTTCTCTCCCCTCTTCTTTCCCTTTTTCTCTGCTTAGTCTCAGGGCCTGTCCGTCCCATCTCTCTACATGGACTAGTTTGGGCTTCCTCACAGCATGGTGGCCTCAGGGCAGCTAACGGTTTCAGGAGTGAATGTTCCAGCAACTAAAGCAGACACTGCATTGCCTTTTGATGACCTAATCTCAGAAGTTACAAAACCTTACTTTTGCCCTGTCTGTTGGTTAAAGGTCACAAAAGCCCAGCCAGGTTCAGTGGGAGAGGATGTAAACCCTGCCTCTTGATGGGAAGAGTATCAGTCTCATTGTATGAAGAGCATGTGGGCCGTCTTTGGAAGAGGCAACAGGCCATGTCGGGCTCCCAGTGTCACTGCCGTTGGGCAGCTCCTTGAACACTCGAAGTTCCCCCCTCCATAGAGCTGTTGCTTCTCCCTCCCGCCTGTCAGTCTCCTCTGGGTACCCCGTAGCAGGCCAGGTGCATTTCCTGTGGAGGGGATCTGTCTTTTCTCTTTGGCTGCTCCTAATATTTCTTTTCTTCCTTTGATAGTCTTCATTCCGTTATAATAAGTCCTAGTTTGATTTTTTTTTTTTCCATCTGTTTGGGAATATTTGGCCTTCCTGGATATGAGGTTCGATCTCTTTTGATAACTCTGGAAAATTCTTGCCAATTATCACTTTGAATTTGACTCTTCCCCATTCTTTTTTTTTTTTTTTTTTAAAATATGGAACGCTTCACGAATTTGCGTGTCATCCTTGCACAGGGGCCATGCTAATCCTTCTCTGTATCGTTCCAATTTTAGTATATGTGCTGCCGAAGCGAGCACCCCATTCTTGATATTATCTCCTTCTGGAGATATTTAAGTGTTTTTAATAAAAAAAATTTACATTTTTCATCTCTTTGAATCTCTGGACGACATTCTGAATAATTTCTCTGGCCCTATCTTTAGTTTCAGTAATTTTTCAGTTGTGTCTAATCTGTTGCTAGATTAGTGCTCTGTAAGCATTCCAGCCCTGGTCCTCTCTGTGGTGCATTTTGCGCAGCATGTTGAGTTTGCGCGTGTGGGGTGTTCTAGTGTAGAGGTTAGAGCACTGGCTTCGATACCACAGTGCCCACGTCGGTGAGGTGCGGTGCTGTTGTCGTTACCGTTAGCTACCCAGCCATGCTGCGCCCCGTGCTCTCTTCTACTTCCAATTTCTCTTCCTGGCTTTCTTTTGCTTAAGCCACAATAGCGATGTTTATCAACATCTCTATTCCTTCCCTGTAGCAAAGCAATAACAAAGCCCTTTCATGTTTCTTGGCAGGGGGTGGAGTTGACTTATAAATAATCTCAGGAAAACAGACATGTTAAAATATCATAACAGAGAATTTACAGGGAGAAGGAATATTAAAAGCCTGTATTAATAGGTGTCCCCTGGTTTTCGTGATATGGAAACAGAGTTAGGCCTGTTTTCCTTGGATCGAGTCTTAGTCCTTTTCCAACTCTTAGTCCTAGAAATCAGCTTTGCTGAATTGTTCTCTCACATAGTCTATTTTGGGGCCTTTTATCTTGTGCTTTCCTAAACTTTTTAACAAAGAACTCTTCTGTATTTTCTGTATTCCTTTTTCATCACACTTGAAAGTGAAGGGTGGAGACCAATTGTGGTGGATGTTTGGCACTCTAAAGACCTTACTGAGATAATCATAAACACCTCGTTGGGTTGTGAAGAGGTTTGTGTAAGTCAGCGTGTACAGCCTTCTTGGGATGGAGCCTGACACGTAATGAAGGCTACAGTAGGACCTTGATATTACAGTAATTAGTAATTCCTTTCATTTATATTATGGTGCATGCTTTTCTACATCCTTATCCTGTTTGATCCAATTTTCCTTCTTTTACAAAGGAGGAAATGGAGGTTTAGAGAGACAAAATGATTTCTAAGGTCATATAACTAATGAGTTGTGCAGCTGGTACTCAAACCCTGATTCTGGGATCTGAATCTCCTGATTCTGAAGCCATGTCTTTCTGTGAGGTCACTGGTTCCTCAGCTTTATAGTGGAGGAAACATGAGGACTAACTGTCTAGAGGTGATGTCTTCTCGCTTTGGACAGAGGAAGCACGTGATGTCTGTGCATACGTGTTTGAACAAAACTCCTAGGAGCTGGAGGTAGGCAGAACATAGATAACTTAGATACCGATTAATGTAGATAATAGGGTGTTTTCTTTCCCTGACGTGTTTTTTCTCCCCCCTTCCTGCCCCTCACTGTCCCTTGCATTTGGATTATTTTCCTTGGAAAGTACCCACTGTTCTCCTAGCTTCAGGCCTGGAGTTAGGAGCAGATTTGCTGTGTCCTCTCGGAGAGCGGACCCCCTGTGGGATGAAAGAGTTTTCCTGCGTCCTGCCTTCCGAGATGGGGCACCTCTGTAGGTCTGGAGCAGCCTAGTGGATCCTGTCCCTTCCCTTGCTTGAAACGCTTCTTTATTTTCCTGCTGCTCTCGGGATACAGACCACAGTCCTGCTCTCCCTGCAACCCCTTCTCATTCCGCTTGCCCTCTCACTCTGGGCATCCAGCCACCAGCTCCCCTTCTGTCCCTTCAGGACTCTGCAGACCCTGACCACAGGGCCTTTCCACCTGCTCTTCTCTGCCCCCTGCTCCTTTCTCCTTGCTGTATTGCCTATGAATCCTTTTAATCCCAGCTCAGGAAAGCTTTTCCTAACCTTGCAAACCTGGTCAGATCCCCTGAATTTAGGCTTTTGTGGCACAGCCTGCCTCTTTTTTTTTTTTTTTAAATAATGTTTGTCATGGTTATAACTTTTCATTTACTTAAGTGGCAATTATCTATGTCTCCTATGTTTTCCAAACCATCAGTAGTTGAACAGATCACCTTTATAGATTTTTTTGATATATGTGGTCAACCTTGGAACAGAATCTCATCTTCCTCTTTTTTCTGCTTATATTTGATGATCCTTTTATAGATCCCTGTTCCCTCCCATTTTTCTGCGACACTGCACGTAAGCTTTCGACGTGGAAGCTGTTCCATAGCCATTAAATCTGAAACATGCTTAGAAATCGCCAGGGTCGGAATCCCTTACGTTTGGGTGTTTACATGCATTTTACAAAGTGGAGAAAGAACAGTTCTCAATCTGAGAAATTAATCTTTGTTATTCAGTAAAAGACAATAGTTGTAAGGCTTGCGAATATAAACTGTCTCTTCCTAGGTCTTCTGTGTTGTGTGTGCTATTGTGATATTAGTGGGTGGTTAAATTTTACCTTCTACAGTCACATTTCCTATTATTTCAACAAACTAGACAAACTTGCTAATTTCCCCCCTAATTTAGAATAAAAAGATTGGCGGAGGCAGGAGAAACAGAAACCCTAACAAATTCCTAAGTGACAGAAAGAGAAAAGAAATCAGGGACAGCACATTCTATGTTTCCAGGCAATAAATTAGTGCTCTGAGATGAAATTGTTGCATTCCATTTGTACAACAGAATACTACTCAGCAATAAAAAGAAATAAACTCTTGATGTGCACAACACGGATGAATCGCAGAATAATTATGCTGAGTGAAAGAAGCCAGACTAAAAAGAGCACGTATTGTGTGGTCTCGTTATATAAAATTACAGAATGTGCAAACTAATCTATAGTGAGTGACAGAAAGCAGATTCCCTGTTGCCTGGGATGGACTGGGGGACGGATTACTGAGGTGCATGAGGAAGCTTTTGGGGGTGGTGGAAATGTTTGTTGGCGATGCTTTCATGGGTGTACATAGATGTCAAAATTTATAAATTTGTACATTTGCAACATGTATAGTTTATCACACATTAATTATATGTCAATAAAGCTGTGAAAACATACTTATTGAGTGCCTACTCTGTTCTAGGACCCTGCTGAGCTCAGGAGACAGAGCGTAAACAAAAACAGTCTCTTTCCTTAGGGGGCTTATAGTCTAATGGGAAAGTGACATTATTTTAATTGTCACCTATATCAACAGACATTTTCAGCCGTGATTAGTGCTATGAGGGAAGGAGAGGTACATGGTGCTATGTGAATACATCTTGGGGTATTTGACCTGGTTCAAGAAGGTTTCTTGGAGAAATGACTGATCCAAGATCATAGAAGCTCAGAGTTGGGTGGAGACCATCTTCTTCAACTCCTGTCAGACCTACAAATTAAGCTTGTTTAAAACGTATCAACAAGAATTTATCCACCACGGACTGATGCTGTACCATCATGACGCACCAGTACTAAAGATGTTTGGTTTTAAGAATAAAATGGTTTACACGTTTTAGCTGCATGAGGCTCTTGCCTGGAAAGGTTTATGATCAACCTTCTGCCTCACGTGGCCGTGAACACTCCGATTCGAGAAGCTGAAACGATTGTTCCCGTTTACGTGGCATGTTTGTCCCGGAGAGGAGCAGAGCGAGCCCATGTTCTGGCCTCATCTTGACAGTCTGTGTGTTCCCACCAGGGTGAAGATGAATCAGTCACCCTCAAATCCTGCACGCGGCGGAAAACAGACTCCATTGAGAAGAGGTTTTGCTTCGATGTGGAAGCAGTAGACAGGTGAGTGACTGTCGCGCTTTTCTCAGGATCGAATCTTGCTGAATTTGTCTCTCTTACCTTTTCCTTTCAGTCATAGCTTTTCTGCTGTTTTCACCTTCCCCCCCGCCATTCCCTTCCTGCCTTCTCCTTCCCTTCACTTACGCCCCGTGTGCTGGATCCAGGCCCTTGCTGGTCTGCGAGGATCGGTGCAGCAGATTGTAGGTCCCCATTTTGTAGGTTCAGCACTGCTCCCTGGCTTCTCTTCCTTTCACTTTAATGTGAGCCCGTCCGTGCTCAAGAATGTGTGTTATATCTCCAGGAGATTGGGTAGATGTTTAAAGGAAACTGACTATTTAGCATGACGGTGTCAGCTATTTGTGAATTTTTTTTTTTTTTACTTAAAATTAATATAATGACACAAAAGGAATTGGTGTGGAAGAAGTTTTACTCAAATAAAAAAAAATCAGCTTCTAGTTACAGCATTTCACCTACTGATGTGTACACGTGTCCAGGAAAGACAGCAAACCACTTGCGAAATCACAATCTTTGGAGAGAGAGCTGTGTGTTGTATTCCTCGAGATTTACAGAGTCTCTCATTAAGTTGTACCATTTCATGGTGTTAAGCTAGTTTGACAACATTCCAATTCTTTGAGACACTTTACTTGGCAACAGGTTGGTTCTTTCAACGAAACCCACGTGTTAAGCTTATTCGAGCTGCCTGTTCAAGATCAGCAATGCTGGCACCAAGATCCTTAAATCTCAGCATGATACTCATATAATGCCATTTAATCTTTCCCCTTTATTTAAAAAAAAAAAAAAAAAGGCCAGACCATTTTGTCAAGCCAGTACTGACAAACTCCCCCTTCCCTGGGAAGTTTACCCGTGGTCAACTTTCGCTGGCTCTGACGGGTCCTGAGACTGAGTACTGCGTGAGATGTTGTCCTCGAGTGTGGGTGGGTGTGGACAGCCTTCTTGTGGAAGGCATCTGCTCTGCGCTGTGGCTGCTGGGGCTCCCATGGAGAGAGTATGCCCTTTTAGCCTAAATCAGAAGTTCAGGGAAACTAACTGTATCTCTTAAGCAATTTAGTCATTGCAGCTTTGGCTCTCAAGCCAGGCAACCTGGGGTCAAGTTTTGACTTTGCTGCATGGTAGCTGTGTGATGTTGAGCAAGTTACTTAATCTCTCAGGGACTCGATTTCCTCATCTGGAAAATGAAGGTGGTAATAGTGTCTAGTTCCTAGGATTGTTGTAAGGACTTAAGGAGATAATGCATGTAAAATGCTTGGCAGAGTGGCAGGTAATAAGTGCTCCACAAGTACTAGCTGTTATTATTTGTTGCTAATGAGTTTGTCCTGCATATTTATCAAACTTGATATTGCATTTCTTTTCTAAACACAGAGAAGTAAATATAATTTGTAAAGAAAAGTAAGTGTCCCAGCCTGCCACTATGAATGGGAGGTGAGAGGGAAGGTTAGGGAGAGGGCAGTATGGGAGGTCGGTTGAGTTGGGTGGCAAAGGGATTGCACAGAGCCCTCCCCAAGCCCAAACTGGTTATTCTTGGTTTTAAACAAATCCTAAATCTGGGTGCTTTAAGCACTCTTAGACATCCCTCTTTGCATGTGGCTTAAAGGAATTCATAGTATTGGCATCCTGGGAGGAGGTTCAGAAGATGTGTTTGTGTGGAAGCAGAGCCAGCCGTGATGCCACTCAAACGCATGGCTCCTGGAGGTGACTGTCTGCGGGGCTGTTTGGAAGAGGGCATGCCTTGCATTGCAGCTCTCCGTCAGATTGAAAATAAGCCCAGGGAAACTTTCTGAAGTCAAATTATTTTCGTGTTTTCTTCTTCAGCTGTTTCCCGAGAGGTGGTGGAGAGTTGCTTTTTGGGTAATTAAAAGTCAACATGACGCCTCCGTCTCATTCCCACCCTTGCCGGCACTTCTGGTACCTTCCCTTCTTTATGGTGCCCACCGAAGCCGTGCGTGCCCCAGTTATAAGCAGAGACCAAATGTGTCACATTCAGCACACCTAGGGAGTTGATTTCTCCTGAGTTTCGGTCCCTGGTTCCCTGACATGACACAGAAGGGTTTTGGTCGTGGTTCTGACAAGGCTCTTGATAAGCAGGAGGTGAGCAGGCGGTCCCAGGAGACACGTTCCTTTGGCTTTCTGTGTAGGTCTCCAAGATTACGTCACAGTTGGGCAGTGTTTTTCTTCTCCCCAGTGCCTTTCTGTGTTTTCCTCACATACCCGGAAGGGGAACTAAGAAGAGAAGGAAAAGGTGTTTCCACATGCTGGGTGGTGCCATCCCTGGGAACTCTGCCCAGAGTCCTTTTCTCTTGAAGACTCCTACACTCTTCACCAGTGTCCTTTAGCAAGAAGGCAATTGCCTTGCTGTCCTGCCTTCCACAGGTTCCTCGCCTCCACCTTCTGGGCCAGAGAGGCAGACGGTCGAAATGCATGTTTAGCACCTAGGAAACGAGGATGGTTACATTTAACAACGTAAGGGTTCAAAATGCTTTCAGAGTATGTTAACTGTAGAATAGATTAACATTTATGTAGTGACTGTTAACATTTTATTTGACTAAGACACAGATAGATGTTAAAGTGTGATTTATGTCAGTGGTCACCAACCTTTTTGGCACCAGGGACTGATTTCATGGAAGACAATTTTTCCACGGACCAGCATGAATCAGGGAGGGGAAGGTCCACGGCCCAGTTCCTAACAGGCCTCGGCCCGGCGCTTGGGGGCCACAGATTTATGTGACTTAGAATATGGGATGTTGCCAGTTTTTAAGGTTGAGTGCTTTTATCATTTCTACTTAATGCCGATATGTCATGTTATTTTTTAACGCATGCTATGGCCTTCAGGAAGTGATATTCCAGCAGGTCGACATTGTGAGTTGATTACATTACATCATTGTATGTTACTGTGTGGAGAGAACCACCTGCACTCAGCGTCCACTGGGCTGCCTGTTAGAACTGCAGGTTCCGGATCTCTGCCCCAGACCTATGCAGTCTGACTTTCTGGGGATGAGACCCTGAAATCCACACTTTCAAGCTTTTTAGTTGTCCTTCATTCTTACTAATAATTAGTGTGTTAAACACCACACATTTCACAGTACAGTTTCATCAGAGCACATAAAAACACTTTCCTTATTAGAAACATTACAAGCAACCACAGCAAAACAAAAACAAAAATTCAGTCTCTTTAACTAAGTAGCTTAATATTTACCCATATGCCGGAGAAAACTATAACTAGTAGAAAAAGTGATTTCTAGTCTCTGAGGCAGATGACATCATCAGGACAAAAGCAAGAACGACCACCACAGTAAAACTCTACCTTTTTAGGTAAAGGATGTTGAAATGGAGGAGGGGTGAGGAAACTAGTAGTCTGAGAGCATTTTCTGTAAGCTGAACATTTCCCATCCATTATTTCATGCTATCCTCACGACCACCCGGGGAGGTAGGTGCTCCCTTACCCCCATTCAACTGCTGAGGAATCTGCAGTTTAGAGGGGTGAGGTCACTTCCCCAGGACTAAAGTGGGATTTCGCAGGAATCTGTCCACTCCAGGGCACGTTGCTGCCTCAAAACTCAGGATATTTTAGAAGCATTTTCCAGTGATGAGCCCAGTGCTGTCTGTGGTTGCATTTCAGAGATACCATGGAGTGTTGAACTTGCAGGCTCTGAAATCTGAGAAGTGCTATTCTCACTTGATCATTTGCATTTGGCATCATAAACTAATGGTACAGTAAACTAAAGCTGCAAACTTCTGTTTTTACATCTTCTACTGTGTGACCTTCAGAAAGTCCTTGCGTGACTAAATTAAAAGAGGCAGTGCAGATAAGAATAGTGCCAGGCACATGGCACTTGGTAGGTGTTCCATGAATGGTATTTTTTTTTTTCTGGACACCCATTCTTCCACCTTTTATTTATTTACTTTTTTAGAGATGGGGTCTTGCTATGTTGCCCAGGCTGGCCTTGAACTTCTGGGCTCAAGCAATCCTCCCACCTCAGCCTCCCAGGTAGCTGAGCCTACAGGCACATGCCACCGTGCCTGGCTCCACCTTTATTTTTTAAGGTGACGCTCTTGTTTTTTTTTTTTAATCCAAGGAGACTAGCGTGAGTAGGAGAAACCAAAGCAGTGGTGCCATTTATCGGTTGTTTTCATTGTATCCCAGTGCGTTGCTGTCAATTTGTTAATCCTCAAATTATGGTGAAAAGGGGTTGGTCCTACAGAAAGAACTGCTGTAATTCTTTGACCCATGAATGAGCTGGAAATCAAATTAAGTGTTAATCTAGGGCTTTGGAATTTAGATCTATGGTTTTTGAACTTTGCATGTCAAAGATCCTTTTTAATGCTGAACACATTTCCAGAAATATACTTTTAATTCTAAGTTGTTGTCTAAGTTGTTTTTGACATCTCAAAAGCAGGCTCTACTCTCTTCTCTGTGTCCTGCACCCTTTTGTATCAGCTTCCACGTAATTGCAGAGGCCACGTCTCAGCCAGTCCTTTTAGTGCCTTCCTTTAACCCTTTGGTTCAGAACTAGTTTTGAGGGAAGTTCAGACCTGAAATATTGAAGGCCCCAGGACTATTCTGAGCAAATGTTTCACAGGCCAATATTAGCTCTTTGTATCTTAGGCTTTCCTTCAAAAGGATTTTATTGTTTCCAACATTTTAAATTTAAAGTTAGTAGAAACTTTTTGTATTTTTCAATCTCAAACTGAGAACTAACTTGCTTATATCAAGGTATCTTGCCAGTTAAATCAACATAACATGATGGTTCTTTGAATTTCTCTTCGGATTTCTTTTGAAATTCATTTACTCTAACGTTAAGAAAGTGCTATGGCTTTAAATAAATGTCTGTGACTTGTAGTAGTTGGGGGGTGTTGCCATAACATGCTCGAAAGGAGAATGCTTTTTATTTTCTCAGAAGGTATTTGTCTTGGGTTACTTTGTGCCTCTACCTATTTCATATGTTGAAGCCCTAATAACGAGTATCTGAAAATATGACCTTATTTGG